GATAGAGGTATCCGAGTAAAGCAGGAGCTCTACAGCATTAATGGATGTAAACAGTATCACATGAGTCTCGTCTGAAACAGCGAGTCCTGTCAGCTCAAACCTTCAGCAGTCTTTACAGATGGTACTATGGTACTATACAATGGTAATCACTGACAAGGTACATTATACGGCTTTTGAATATTTTGAATTGTACTGGCCGGGAAAATTTCTAAATTGGCTAAAATGTCCGGGTTTTTAGCTATGTCTTCCTATGGACGCGCTACAGTCCTCACACATTATATGTATGTTTATTTGCATTGCTTTGTCCGTTCTCTGTAGATCCCGCCTTCTCGCACACCACGATTGGTCGATTATGTACAATGCCTGCACGCTGTTGGTCAAACTACTTAGACAAGACATCAGTCTAGGGTTGTGACGATGAGGAAATTTTCCCTCCGGTTAATCGACGTGTGACACCATTCAATTCATTCTGCGCAGCCGGTGTTGCCAGATCCAGCTATTATAAGCATTTTTGGACTTGTCTTTTCCACTTAATTTGACACTTTAGAAAGTTAATAAAGTAGGATGTTGCAGTTTAGGGTCAGCGATATCTTTATCTTATCTTAATTGCAAAAGATTTGAAATGATTTCTGTTTATTTGTATTTATTTTTCGGTTTTTGTTTGTTTTAATAGCAATATCTGGCAACACTGATCGCCGGCACTTAAACTGACAGTGATTAAAAAAAACCACGGACAGGTTATTGCTGACAGGATAGCACATTCGGTAAGGGAAATACAAAACATATCATGTTATTATCTGTCAGAAATGTTATCAACACTGTCAAAAACAGTAGCATTTATCACTAGTACACAGATCTGTTGAACAAGTAGGTTACAAAATGAAATGAAATACACAAACCCTAGCCATTAAGAGAAGTCTACACGTCATTCAGTATAGTAGTTAAATTTTCACAAATCATGCTAAAAATATTCATTAGAGCACTAGACAATGTTATCAGCTATATAGAAATGGTTATTAATAAAAACTATAACAGTAATATGAATAATAAACAGCTGATAAAATTATCTACCCCTAACTATAGTAAAGTATTAACAAATTTTGATGCAATAGGGCATGATTTAAAAATAATCATGCCTCCAAAACAGAGAAAACATCTTTCACAATCATCTACATGTCTGTCTCTTTTAAAGTGTTTATAGTGTACATAATGAGTTGTATTTGTAGGGGTTATTATAGCACAATTCTTTAACACCCCCCCCACTAAATTTCAAAGCCTGGCTACGGCCATGAATAAAAATACACCATGCAATATGCCTAATATAAAATAACAAATAACTTACACAAAGTTTAAATAGGTAGCCTATACAAAACAGAAAATCAGTAAACACAGTGGAACCAAATAAATAAGAAAAGAATGTTTAAAAAAAACTTCCGATATCACCTTAGATAAATGGCAGAAGACTTTTTTCTCAGAAATGCTATTTTATGTCTTTTATATTCAATAATATGAATTACCCTGCAAAAGGCTTCATTTTTAACATTAATGAAAATCATCCTACATAGACACATAATTTTCTTTCTTTTTTTTTTTTAAATCAGTATAAATTAAATTCTGTGTGCAAGTTCTGCCATAATGGATGAATACTTATAAATAAAAATGAATTGATTTGTTTGTATTTGGTTTATATTAATTCATATTAATTATCTTACAGTAGGCTTCATTTTCTTCGAGCAAAATATAATTTAATCTTTTTTTTGCATTAATAAAAAAAACATCCTATTCAGACACAGCATATTTTATTGAAAATAAGCATGATTTAAATTAATTGTAAAAAATACTGTCATAATGTATACTTCCGAATCTATTTATTTATTTAATTTTATATTCACTAATGTCAATTCTCATACAATAGGCTTAATTTTCTTCATGCAAATTATAATTTCTTCTTTTTTTGTCTTTTTGTCTCTGAGGTGCAATATGATCTAGACATGCTTTTGACATGTTTTGTGAAATTCACCGGGTATTTAATGCTTACAAACTAAAAGGATGTCAAAACGTCTAGCTCACGTCACCGGTGTAAATTCACTGGTCTGGTATCATATGACTAGTTGGTAGGGATGTAACGATTAACCGCGAGCCGGTTGAAAATCGATTCAAATATGTGACGATTCAAATCGGTTGAGATGCTAAACAAATCGCGATTCAATTAGGGGCAGGAGTTTATATGAATGCATGTCTGAGGGGAACTTGCTGTCTTTAGAAAAGTGTAGATGGTATTTTTTCTTGTCATCTTGCCTCTGTATAATGCATATTAAAGTTCATAAGTGCAGCGCTGCTTTGTTAACAGCGGAAACCAAGGAAACGCTTTAAGCGCCACCTGCTGGCAGAGAGTGAATCTGCGTCTCGTTCAGCTCGTCTGCTGTTTCTGTTTCATGCAGATATTTTTTGTATGTTTTTGAAATGTATAGTTTCACAAAACTGAAGTCAAACCATTCTGTTTTTGCTTCAAATTTTGAAATTATACAATCTAATTTAGATTAAAAACTGCTCATGTTGCATGTATGCAGCGTCTTTGTTTGGATCATGATTAAAATGCAGTGGTTGCCTCTAATTTTAAATGTTAAGAGCACAGACAAAGCCTTAGTTTGTTTATATGAAGAGATTTATTTTATTTCTGTTATTTATTGGATTTGGGGCTTGTTTTAAAATTTCAATTTAGTTTTGTTATTTACATTTACATTATATTTAAATTTTGTCATTTACAGTGGTGTGAAAAAGTATAGTGTTATATTTCAATTTCACAAATAAAAGTGCAGCATTTTGTCCAAGCAGTAATAAAAGGACACATTTAATTTATAATTTGTCTTAAATCTCATTTTGAATTTTGAATCGAATCGTGAGTTGAGTGAATCGTTACATCCCTACTAGTTGGCGATAATAACTACATGCACATTAAGATGAACTCACAAGATAAATTCACTGGTCTGGTATCATATGACTAGTTGGCGATAATAACCAGATGCACATTAAATTCTTCTCGACTTGGCTCTGGCGTCCCGTGAGGATACGCAGGATGGAGATTGCGGGAGGTGGCCTGTCATTTATTCGGTTCCCTACACGTCCAACAACAGGAGGAGATGCGGCTGACAGCCAACGGGAATCCAGCCAGCCGTTAGAGGGATTACACTCGTCTGCTTAATTTGACACACATTTTGCTCAACAAAGAGCTCGACTGGTCTGCGTCTTCGTGCCGGTATGAGAGAGATTGTGAGCTAATGATAGCCTGAGCGTTGATGCTAAATATGCAAAGCGGGCGAATATGATACAGAACACAAAAGATCTTTGACATGAACGGGCTGCTCCTGCTAGGCTCTTATTAGCCTGTCTTCCCACTCGCGTAATAACACATAACTGCCATCAAATCACTGTTTTGGGCATAAGGAAAAGGGTTTGCGTGCGTCACTTGTCACGCCAGGGTTACAGTTTGCTGCTGGGTTGGTGCTTGGGTAATTAGGAAGATATTTACGCATATTAAATGGTATTTTTAAACACGAGTCTTTGCCCCGGCTTGTGCAGAAACAAAGAGCTGTTGTCATGATCTCACCCTCAGAAAACAATTACTAAATGGAGCAGAAAAAGCTCAAACTTCTGGGACCAAAACATGATTCGTAAGAAATGCTATCTTGCAGTGAAGATTTGTTTTTGACTTTGTACCATTGTTTATTGGCGAATGATGATGATTTGAACATTTGCACACATTTTTTTCAACTAGCTATGGTGGTAGCATGTTATTTTTGGACAATACCGTGGTATTCTTTGAAGAACCATGGGTTTACCATCACTGTACCACGTCCAGAGATGATCAGTGTATGTTAATCAATGTTTCTAACAGATGGAAACTTATTTCTGCCACTGAATAAAAATATAAATATATACTTTTTAAAAAATCGACACATTTTTATTTAAAAGAATATGACGTATACTTTTTTTTTTCTCACAAATCTGACCTTTTTCAGATGTTTCTTCTCACAAATGTGAGTTTACATTACAAAATTTTGACTTTTTTTTCTCCGAATTTTGCATATGCATTCAGGTGTCTGAAATTTTGGAAAAAATAAACTAAATTGCAATATGTAAACTCACATTTCTGAGAAAAAAAAAGCAGAATTGCGAGATATAAACTCAGAATTCCTAGAGGAAAAAATAAATGGATAAATAAATAATTAAATAAATTCTGCAGTATTCAGACATTATGGCAGTATTTATACACTGAATTTAATTTGCTGATTTAAAAACAAACAAGCAAACAAACATGTATCTGGATAGGATGATTTTCATTAATGTGAAAAATGACAACAAAAAATGTTATTAATAAAAATAAAAATGAAGCTTCCTGCAGGATAATTTACATTATTGAATAAAAAAGCTAAATGAATAAATAAATTCTGAAATACTCATACATTATAATAATATTTGTACACTGAATTTAATTCATGCTGATTTTAAATAAAGCGTGTGTCTAGATAGGAGAATTTTAATTAATGTATTACAGTAATAAGATGTTTTAAACATGCTTAATTGTCATGAAAATGTCCAAATGAAAAAAAAATGCACAAATTGCTTTGAAAAATTGGTTTTCATATTATATATCAAATATTAAAATATTGTGCATATATTACAAATAAAATTTTTTCCTTTTAATTTTGCAGTGAAATATGACAATTCCTTTGTGAGATTCACCCAGCTGTTTAATTCAACATAATCAATAATAATAGAGCTGTTGTCATATTATACTCATACAATATGGATTCACTGTCAAGGGACAAGTTATACTGTAATTTGACTGAAAACACACAATTCAGAGAGACACTGACAGCAAATGTGAGGAACAGAGATATCCTGTCTATATAAATCAACACTGAACCCTAGAAAACTAGAGAAAACATCTACATTTTGATCTGAGACGTATCTGGATCTCATGAAGAAACGGCTCCCCCCTGTGTCAGCAGAAACCAACTGGTCTTGAGTCTTTATTAAGGCCGTGTTACTCACCGTACTGGGCTTCTCTCTCCTGCAGCTCCAGTTTGATCTGGTTGTGTTGCTCCTTCATGCGGCTCAGATCCCGTCCACTTCCTTTGTGCAGAGTCTTCAGCTTCCTCTCAAGCCCCTCCAGACGATCTCTCTCGCCGTACGCGCTCCTGATTTCTGCCTTCAGTTCCTTCGCACTGCTGAAGTCATTTCCTGCCGCGAGAACCAAACAGAAGCAGAATATTAGATGAAAAACATCAAAACGATTAGTCGAAACACCACCAGAAATAAGAATACTATCAGCATACTATGATTTGTGACACACTAATTCCAATTTTGCATACTACATACTACAGATAGCATGCAAATAGGGATGCTGTCAGAGATTTAAAATAAACAATGTAAATGTTTTTGTTTTGTTTTTTTCTCAAGAATCTATGTTAGGTGGTTGCCAGGGTGTTTGCTCCTTCATGCGGCTCAGATCCCGTCCACTTCCTTTGTGCAGAGTCTTCAGCTTCCTCTCCAGCCCCTCCAGACGATCTCTCTCGCCGTACGCGCTCCTGATTTCTGCCTTCAGTTCCTTCGCACTGCTGAAGTCATTTCCTGCCGCGAGAACCAAACAGAAGCAGAATATTAGATGAAAAACATCAAAACGATTAGTCGAAACACCACCAGAAATAAGAATACTATCAGCATACTATGATTTGTGACACACTAATTCCAATTTTGCATACTACATACTACAGATAGCATGCAAATAGGGATGCTGTCAGAGATTTAAAATAAACAATGTAAATGTTTTTGTTTTGTTTTTTTCTCAAGAATCTATGTTAGGTGGTTGCCAGGGTGTTGCTATGCAGTCACTAGGTTGTAGCTAGGGTGATTCTAAGTGCGGTTTGGAGTTGTGTGCAAAAGTTTAATACTTAGTGTTTGGGGATTGTTCAAGTATATGTAATAGTAATAGCGATGCTTGACTTAGTAGACATGACTAGTTAAGAACTAACTAGATAAGAACCTTTGGGGTCAGTAGGATTTTTTGGGGAAAAAATTTGCATGTTTGCATGTCTAGAGGACATTAGATCTTGGATGTCTTTAAATTTTCTATGCTTAAACTCTAGTAAAACAGAAGTTATTGTGTTTGGGCCTCAGGTGAATAAGGCCAATGTAAACCATAATTTGGGATATTTTAACTCCTTCATCAAACCAACTGTGAAAAATTTGGGAGTCCTTTTAGATTCCTCCCTAAAATTTGAGCAACATATTAAAACAGTAGTGAAGTCAAGTTTTTTTCATTTAAAACCTCTCTCTAGAGTCAAGTTTTGGTTATCGTTTAAAGATCTTGAGAGAGTTACACATGCCCTTGTCTTGTCGCGTCTGGACTATTGTAATTCTTTATATGTTGGTCTACCGCAGTCTTCTATATCATGACTCCAGATGGTTCAAAATGCTGCAGCCAGGTTTTTAACTGGGGCTCGTAAGCGAGAGCTAGGGCTGTGCAATATATCGAAAATGTACCGCAAATGTACATATCGCAATATGCATATCTGTCACGAATTCGGTCCATGGACTTCCGTTTATTCACCACCAGAGGTCACCCTTTCCATTACATTGACTCTCGCACAACACAAACTGTTGCATAGCACCCCGGACTACATATCCCATCATTCTTTGCACGATTTGCACACTGCACTGATTGCACTCATTGCACACAGCTGTTTCTAATCACCTCACTCACTATATAACACCCACTCTAACCACCTTTCTCTGCTGAGTATTGTTTAGCCCGTACCCCATTCCGAGTCTCTGAGTTTTCCTTGTTTTTGCCTTGCCTTGCCTGTTTTCGCGGTTTCTGATCTTTGCCTGTTTTTCTGGATTTTTCACCCTCTTATCTGTCTGACTTATTAAAAGAAAAAAAGCCAACAAGATCTACAAAAAAGTACTCTGTCTCAGCCTAGATCCCGATTAAAGGCAAAAGGTGATCGTGCATTTGCAATAACCTTCCTTTATCTGTGAAAACTTCTAATTCTGTCTAGAGTTAAAAACTACATTTAAATCTTATTTTCTTACTTTGGCTTTTTAAACTTTGTGGTTTTTTTTTATTATTGTTCTCATTGACATTATCTTTTATTATTGTTTTTATCTTATTTGCACAGCACTATGGTCAACTGCTGTTGTGTTTATTGGTGCTTAATAAATACATGAATTAATGAATTCAGCAAGGATTCATTAAATTCATCATTGAAATGCGTCACAATTCAGACTTTTTTTCCTCACAATTCTAACTTTTTGTCTAAGAATTGACACATAAACTGTAACATATAAACTTACCACTGAATAAAATAAATCTGATAACTACAACTTTTTAAGAGAACTTTAAATGATAATAAAAATAAAAATAATATAATAAAATTAAATAAAACAAATCTCACAACTCTTAATTTGTCCCATATAAACTTTTTCCTAAGAGAACCTTTAAAATAAAATTAAATTAAATTAAATAATAAAATCTCACAACTCTTCTTTTTTTTATTTGTGCCACAAACTTTTTTAAGAGAAACTTTCAAATAAAATAAAATCAAATCTCACAACTCTTTTTTTTTATTATTTGTGCCACATAAACTTTAAGAGAACCTTATAATTAAATTAAATTAAGTTAAGAAATGAAATGAAATTAAAATTGAATTCAGAGTTTATATATTAAAAGTCTAAATAGTGAGAACTTTATTTCATTTATTTTTTGGCAGAAATAAGCTTCCATAGTTTTCAACATTGATAATAATCAGAAATGTTTCTTGAGCAGCAAATCGGCATATTAGAGTGATTTCTGAAGATCATGTGACACTGAAGACTGGAGTAATGATGCTGAAAATTCAGCTGCGCATCACAGAAATAAATTACATTTTACCATATATCCACATAGAAAACTCCTACTTTGAGTTGTAGTATAATTTCACAATTTTACTGTTTTTTTTTATCAATTAAATGCAGCCTCGGTGAGCAGAATAGACTTCTTTCAAAATCATTAAGAAATCTTACTGCCTCCAAACTTTTGAACAGTAGTGTTTGTAGGCAGTACTCAAGTACCCCAGTGGAGGACGGGCTGTACTTTGAGCCTGTCATTCTGTATTGTGTAGTGCTGTCGAGCACACAGTGACAGTGACATCTGAAACAGCCGCAGGAGGCGACGGGTTCAGATGAGCACAGAAAGAGCGGTACCTGAGATGGCCGCGAGCTTCGCCTCATGAAGGGCCAGCAGCTGCGTTTCACCCTCGCTGACCTTCCGTCGCAGACGAGAGCCCAGTCTCTGACTCATCACCACCTGAACCACGAGAAACAGAGATTACACACCTGAGGAAAAGAGCAGTCACTCAACTTACTGAGGTTAAAGTTCAAACTAGGGATGTAACGATTCGATTCACGATTTTGACTTCACGATTTTTTTTACAAAATGAGATTTAAGACAAATTATAAATTAAATGTGTCCGTTTATTATTGCTTGGACAAAATGCTGCATGTTTCTTTGTGAAATTGAAATATAACACTATAATAATATACTAATATAGTTGACTTCAGTTTTGTGAAACTATACATAAAAATATCTGCATGAAAGAGCGGACGAGCTGAATAAGATGCAGATTCACTCTCTGCCAGCAGGTGGCGCTTAAAGCGTTTCCTTGGTTTCCGCTGTTAACAAAGCAGCGCTGCACTTATGAACTTTACTATGCATTATACAGAAGCAAGATGACAAGAAAAACATACCATCTACACTTTTCTAAAGACAGCAAGTTCCCTCAGACATGCATTCATATAAACTCCTGCCCCTAATTGAATCGCGATTTGTTTAGCATCTCAACCGATTCACACACAGTCACTTTAATCAGTCTGAATAAGCTCTTTTGCACTACAAATCATTATATCTGCACTGTTGTTTACTTCACTGGTTTGCACTCTATCTGCCATGTGCCTTGTGCTGCTTTATATTTTTTTTTACATTTTACCTTATTTGTATATTTGTATAGTTGTATTTTATATTTAATCTGTATCTATCTGTATTTATGTTCTACTGTTAGTGTTATCTGTATGCACCAAGGGTCTGAGAGTAACGCAATTTAAATTCTCTGTGTGTATGTGCTGTACATGTGGAAGAATTGACAATAAAGCAGACTTGACTTGACTAACGCACAACAGCTGTTAATATTCAGATGAGTAAAAAAAAAATGTAGAAAACTAAAAAAAAAATTATGTTGCTAAGATGTTAAAAGGACGAAGGGCATGTAGAGGTTATGTAGAAGTTTTAGGCTCTAAAATAACAAAAATAATATAGAAAATAAAATATATATTTATAATCACTAAAAAAAAACTAAAATCTTAAAACACAACTTTTTAAAGAAAACTTTGCATAAAAAAAAATAAAAACACTAACATTTTTGCCATACAAACTTTTTGTTAAGAGAACCTTTAAAATAAAAGATAAAACAAAATAAAATTCTTAAATATAAGAATAAAAAATAAAGTAAGAAAAATATATTATTATAAAGAAAAATAAATGTTTAAATCACATTCTGAGCCCTTCCAAGCTATAACTGAGACTTGTCATAACACTTGCATATCATGCAGATCAAGCTCTTTTGTTGGTTTTGACTGCTTCTATTGTCCTCATTTGTAAGTCGCTTTGGATAAAAGTGTCTGCTAAATGACTAAATGTAAATAAAATGTAAATACAATATACATCTGTGCCACATAAATGTTTTTGTTAAGATAATATCTTACATCAAATAAAATAATATTTTTAAATACAACATACATTTGTGTCACATAAATGTTTTTAAGATATCTTGCATAAAATTAAAATAAAAAACTTGAATACAACATATATTTGAGCCACATAGACTTTTTTTTAAGATAATATTAAAAATAAAATAGAATAAAAAATCTTAAATGTGACATACATTTGTGTCACAAACTTTTTAAAGAAAATCTTAAAAATAAAGAAAAATACATGTGTGGCACTGAACATTCTGGAAGCCATTAGTGGTGGGCCAGATGCCACTGGTCCTCCCGATGTGAAGGCGGTTGTGCGCTGCAGCCAGACGCTCCGTGGCTCTGCCATCAGATAACGGCCAAACAGAGGGCAAAGTCACACTGTGCCATTTTTCAGGCAGCTCATCTCCTCTCAGCTCCACCCACGGTGAAAACACCAGCTCACACACACACACACAGATAAATGACTATTTCCCATGCTGCTCACAGGAGGAAAGCAGTTCATTGTGTCCCTGATTATCGTGGTGCTAACTAACTCTCTCACACACACACACACACACACACACACACACACATCACTGCAACTGGAAGTGGAGATTTTGCTTTTGGATTGACACCAGTTCTGTCTTTTTATCATCTAATTTTATCATCTGAAATGTGCTAGTAATTGTATTCACTCTACTTATATAATGCAATATTATATTATATTAATGTCAAGCATGCAAATCAAGGGTTAAATGTATGTGACAATTTAGTAGTCGCTGGATATTGGTAGAGACATAATAAGCGATGTCTAACTTTTTTTATAAAGTTCTCTCAAACAAAATAATATAAGTCCGACATTGCAGTGATCTGCTGGTTTGTCATTCTCTGAGGAAGACACTTGTTTTGGTCAGATTTTTTTTTTTAATGTTCATCCAAGTGACTTTTTTTTTCTGTTTTAAAGATGTTTTCTTTGGATTGTTTGACTACTCGAACGAAAACACAGGAAAATATGACTTTGTTTGTTTCCTGCTAGCTAAATTTCACATATACGTAAACAAAAATCTGGCTCTAAACCTCTCTTTTCTTTATTCAAAGTTGATCTAGACAAGTACATGGAAACTATCCAAAGTTCTGTTAATCCTAAAGCAGTGAAAACTGCATCTAAGCGCATAGAAAACAAAGAAATTCAACAATTCTTCTCCTCCTCATCCCGTCAGCTGTGAAAAGAGTAATCACAACGCATGTGCTTGCTTGCGCTTCATGGATATTGGTAGGAACATGTCCCAGTGCAACTTATTTTCCAGAAACTACATGCTGCTAAAAAAAATTTACAAATTACCCAATGATTAATGTTTGTAAATGATAGCATGCTACAATGTTGTCATATGACCTTATTATGTTGCATGTCCAGTTATCAGAATGGATATTTCACATTTTTATTTGAATTTTATGAAATAAAAAATTATTTTGGCCAGTATAAGCAAATTAGTAGTTAAAAATCATGCAATTTAGTAAATAAGATAATTTACGGTTCATTCATCAAACTGGAAATAGAAAAGAAAGACTGGAAAGTTGAGTGCATTGCACTGTGGGATACAGAATCTCAAACAGTGTATAATAGTGTGAGTAGCACGATAGTATGTTATTCCATTATACACTTCCAGATCAGCGTCTTTTTTCTTGTTTTACAGTAAAAAAAAAATCTAAACAAACTTCAAAATTTACCTGAGATTTTGAGATCTCCGAGAATTGTTCTCTAGTATCTTATATTAAAATAAAATAATAAATAACATACAATTGTGCCACAAACGTTTTATTAATAAAGTCAAATAAAATGCCTAGGGCAAGAACAGATATGTGATTAAAATGTGGACTTACTTTAGCCGTTGCCTCTTTGGTGGATAATCTCAGTGCTCGCTCTTGCTCTTGAAGTCTGGAAATAAAAGGAAATTATAAATATCAGTGATGCTGAAAATGAGATTTGAACACTAACGTTATAAACTTTACACTTAAAAATTATGGCAAATACAAGAAATAGTAATAACGATGCTTGACTTAGCAGACAACACTAATAAATACAGGTAAGCAAACAATATCGAAGCATTATATACTGTGATTAGGCCTGGGCGATAAAACAGTATCGATATTTATCGACGGTACACCTTCGATA